GTATATATGTATGTATATATATATATATATAGCTATAACTCTGTCCCTCCATAGTTTTTTTTTTTTTTTTTTTTTTTTTTTTTTTTTTTTTTTTTTTGTTTATTTTTTTTTTCTCTCTCTCTCTCTCTATCTATATATGTATGTATGTATTCTCCCAAGCGGAGGTTGCCCGTAGGGTTTCTTACTCTTGTTCTACGCAGCTGGGCCGTGTCTTCGGTCTGGCGGCTATGTGGCCGCCGTCGCCGCCCCGTCGCCGCCTCGTCGCCGCCCGTCGCTACTGTTGGAGTAGAATTCGCGTTGTGGCGCGCTTTTTGATCGCTCGCAACATACATTGCACCACACAGGCTGCACAACATAGATGGCACCACATGTATTGCACAGCATCTATTGCTCAACCACATATGTTGTTCCGCATCGTTTGCTTAACATAGATCGTACCACATATACTTGACACCGTATTGCACAACCGCATAGCGGGTACAACATATATTTCACACTTTAGATTCTCCGTTCCAAAACAAGAGCTATAGTCAGTCTACCACCCCCCGGAGGCCGGGTTTCTCGATTCCCCTTTGGGGCTCTGCAATTTACATACGATTTTGCTTCACCTTTCGTTCTAAGCATGAGTTCGCATCATCCCTGCCAAGCTGGGTTTGACCCCCCCACCATCCTTTGCAAACACATTCTGCGCTTACACTCGCTCTTCAACAGTCATACAGTGCCGAAGCGCCCGTGCAAAACATGAGACGAAGTGCAGTCGCGCGCGTCGTCGCGCGCGCGTGCGAGAAACCGTCAAAGAAAAACCGTGGATTTCGCGAGGGTGTCAACGTCGTGTGTCCCGAAAACATATAGCAACCACATGGTTTTGCAATCTCTTTCTTCAACAAAGGTCTGCGCGTTAGCGCTCTTGCGGCTTTGACGAAAACCATCGGCTTCCAACATTCCTGTCGCAGGCGATCAGACGGGCCTCTCGTGCGCGCGTGCCGAAATCATTGTTACGCCCTTGCGCGCGTGCTGGGGGGGACGCGACCCCTGTCAAATAACACCGTGCGAGCCACTCGCGCCCGTCGGCCGTGCGCGCATGTCGAAATCCTTCCAAAACCTTCGTCGCCGACACGTGGACACCATCACAGGTTCGCGCGATCAGCATCGGCGCCATCATTGGCCTTGCTGTTGTCGCCCTCATCGTGACCAGCATCGCAATTTGATCTTCATAGTCGTCATCTGTCGCGCCAGACTAGCTGGCCGCCCTGCGCGCGAGCCCTCGCGCTAGCGCGGCCGCAGCGATGCGCCAGCCAGCCCAGCCATGGCAATCGCCGCCGCACGGGTTTTGCAAACCAAGTTGCGGGTGGGTGGGTGGATGGGACTATTCCGCGGGCAGTGGAGTTGACAGCTTCAAGTTCGGCACGGTGAATCGCACCACGTAGGTTCTCCTAAAAAAAGAGAACAAACTCTACCCTTTCCCCCGGGATTATCGCCCTTCTTTTTCGTATTGCAATTTAAGTATGATTCTGCCCCACCGTCCATCCTAAATACGAATTCGTACCATCCCATCCAGGCCGGTATCGGCCCCCCTTGCCATCTTCTGCAACAATAAACTATGCGCGCGCATTCGTGTATCAAACATCACAAGTTTTCAAGCATCCGGTGCTTACAAAGTGACGAAGTGTACACGCGCGCGTCGTCACGCGCGGATGCCGAAATCATTCAAAAAACTCATGGTTTCGCAAGGATTTCCAACATCGAGTGAAAAACGCATGGTCTCGCAACACGGATTAAACAAAAAAACGCGCGTGCGCGTTATCTGCCGAATTCTTAGGATTTCACGGTTTGTGAACATGTTCAGAACATGCTACTCAACGGGCTTCGCGCGCGCATGTCGGAATCGTTCGAACGCTTTTGCGTGCGTGCCGTCGCGAGATTCTTGTGTACAGAATGTGACGAAGTGCACGTGCGCGCGCGTGGTCGCGCGCGCATGCCGAAATCCGTCAAAAACATGCGGTGTCGTAGCGATTTCAAAACCAAGTTTCCAAACACGTGCAACACATGGTTTCGCAGCATCAGTTTTCAAAACCATCGCGCCTTCGTTTTTTTCTCGACATTTTCATGGACTTCTGCCGAACAGGTCTCTGGCGCCGCATGCTTACATCATTCGCACGCCCTTGTGCGCGTGCTGGGGGGGCACGATCCTTGTCAAATAAAACCATGCGGGCCACTCTCGTGCGTCGGCCGCGCGCGCATGTCAAACTGTTTCCAAACCTTCCATCACCGACGCGAGGGCGCCGTCATCGTCGTTGGCGTGATCAGCATCGACGCCCGCACTGGCCGCGCCTTCGTCGGTGTCAACATCGTCGCCGGCATCGCTACTATCATCACCGTGTCTGCCGTTGCCGACTTTGCCATGATACCGCGCCCGCCCAAGTCGCCGGTTCGCAATGAAGTGCCCGTCGGGATGTGCCCAGCGGTCAGCGCCACCGCGGCCGCGTCGGCGGCGCCGAACGAGCTGGCCGCTGCGCGCGCGTGCTAGGGTTGGCGCGGCCGAAAAAATGCACCAACCATGGCCGAACATGCATTGCGATCGCCACCGCATGGGTTTTGCACACCAAGTTGCGGGTGGGTGGGTGGGATGTTTGCAAGAGCGTGGGATGTGTCAATTCGTTTGCGAAAAGACATAAATTGCAAAACGTGGGTGGCACCACATGTACTGCACCACGTATGTTGCACAGCTTAGATCGCACCACGTCGATTCCACAACATAGCATGCGTAGCGCAGATTGGCGGCAACATGGTTTGGGGTCCATGTTGCTTTAAGTTTCCAATACATCCATAATGTGTATGTCCAACTGCGCGTGCCCGCCACCGCGCTTGGGGAAACATTGTAGCAGTGTTGCAGCGCGGCATGGACAACAGCGCCGAAGGTTTGTCGCGCCGCCTCCCCGGGGCTTCGTGAGCAGTGTCGGGAGGGCTTCGCTTGGGCCTGCATTCAAGACACTTGAACAGACATCGAAGAAACATAACGGCATAAACATTCACTTTCGACGGCCCGTGCGGATGTCTTGGGCCGCCACCAGGCCCCCTTGGCGGCGCCTCCGGTGCCGGCGGTTGGCGCGCTCCCCGCGCCAGGGAGGGGGTCCAGCGCCGATCCAAAACATCCGCGCGGACCTCCGAGACATGATGTTTATGTTTCTTTTTGTTCTTTCATCGTCGTCTTCATCAGCCGCCGTTGTCCTCAGGTATGGCGTATGGTCACACCTCCACGCTTCGTGTGGCGTTTTTGTCACACCTCTGTGTTTCGAGCGTTTTTTGAGTGGCGTGTGGTCATGCCTCTTTTCCTGCCAGCGCGTCTACCTGGACGCAAGGTTTCTGTCTGTCTGGCTGTCTGTCTGTCTGTCTACCATGGACCGCCATGGGCTCTGGCAGGGCCCTGGTTTGTGGGCCGTTCCTTACATCTAGGTCGAAGGGCCTGTGCGTGGCCGACGCTCGCCTGTGTGTCTGTCTGTCCGTCTGTCTGTCTGCCACGGGCCGCCGTGGGCTCCGGCGCGGCCCCGGTCTGTGGGCCGCTCCTCGGATCTAGGTCGAGGGGCCTATGCGTGGCCGAGGCTCGCCTTGGCCAGGAAGGCCGCCTCCTCCTCCTCCTCCTCCTCCTCATCCTCCTCCTCCTCCTCTTCCTCCTCCTCCTCCTCCCCCTCCTTCTCCATTCATCCTCCATTCATCCTCCATTCCTCCATTCCTCCTCCTCCTCCTCCTCCTCCTCCTCCATTCCTCCTCCTTCTCCTTCTCCATTCCTTTTCCTCCTCCTCCTCCTCCATTCCTTTTCTTTCTGATCTTCGTTCTTTGTTCGGTGCCCCTTTATGTTGGCACGAGGGGCCCTTTGGGGGGGGGGCATGCCGCGTGTCTTTGGGGCGTTTCTGGGCGTCTTGTGACTCTCTGGGGCAGTCTTCGGGCTCTTTTGGGGTCGCCCCCTCCCTGTCCCGTTCCTCCCCCCTCTTCCCCCACCCCTCCTCCAATCATCGCCCCCTCGCCCCCAGCGCGGAAGTCGCAATCCCGAGACACCCGCCGATGCGACGCAGCTGCGCAACCGCGCATGACGCGACGCGCTACATATATGTGTATATATATATAGAGAGAGAGAGAGAGAGAGAGAGAGAGCGAGAAAAAGAGGGAGAGAGAGAGAGAGAGCCAATCGCGCAGCGACGGGCGGTATTATTTGATTGGCGGACCGAGCCCCCGAGACCCACAGTCATCCAGCGAGACGTCCGCGGATGCGGGTCATGCTATCTTCCCCCTCTCAAAAAGGGCCCCGCGCGGGGGTGGAGGCAAGGAGGCAGCTTTCTCTTGGCGGCGCAGCCGAGGCAGGCGGTGGGGGGGGGCTGGGGCGGGGGGGGGGGGGGGGGGGACGGCAGCTTCCCCCCGCGTTTGTGTTTAGCTTTCCGCCTCCTTTTCTTGTTCTCTCCCTCCCTCCTCCTCGCTCCCTCTCTCCTCTTCGTCCTCCTCCCGATCTCCCCCGTGCCCCTTCCTCCCTCCCCTCCTCCCCCTCCCCTCTCCTTCCCGCCCCTCCCCTCCCCACTCCCCTCCTCCCCCCCTCCCCTCCCCTTCCCCGCTTGCACTCGCCCTCGTCCTCGCGGCCGTGCTCGCTGACCTTGCCGCCGTCCTCGCCCTCATCCTCGTCGTCGCCCTTGCCGTAGACGCCGCCCTCGCCCTCGCCGTCGCCGCCGTTGTCTCCGTCGCCAGCTGCGGCCCAGGAGAGCCTCCCGCCAGGCGTCCCGACCATGGCCAGCCGGTGCCCCTCCTGCCCGTCCCCCCCCCCGCGCGCCGCCAATTGGCGGCGTCGGTGCCCTGGGCGGGCGGCGGCGGCGGCCGCCGTCGTTGTTGTCGTCGTCGTCGTTCTCGCATTCTTTGTCGTCCTCGACGTCGTAGTCTGCGTCGTCCTCGGATACCTCGCGGAGGTTCCTCCATGCCCGCCTCGAGCGAGAGGAACACACAGTCGTGGGCTCTCCTTC